CCAGCAAGATGGCCCCACATTTAATATTTCTAGTAGGTCCCCTTACCCTAGCTGAACCTGGGTCAGGGCACGATTGACGCTATGGACTGCATGTAACACGGCTAAAGTCTGGAAAAGTAGAACATTCGCTGAAAAATGATTTCTGGAAACCCAGATGGGTCGAAATTGCTAATGATTTCGAGGAACATTTAACCATGAGTTTCTTCTCTGAAGACGAGTAAAAGTCGCCCGGACGATGCCAGCAAAAAGGCAACTCTGGCAGTCAGAACGTGCCTTCCCTCAATCTGTGAACTAGCCAATACCTGAAGCTATAGATAATTTGGATGGTATTTGTTATTTTATTTGGTTTTTCACGTGAAAGTAATCCTACATAGATACTTGCGTATTTCTGCCGCAATTGTCAAAGAATAAAGGGTACTCTGCTGGAAGTAAAACATGGGTGCAAGTAGCTGGGGTATGGTAGCAGGCTGTGAGTGCTACTCGGGGACCTGGTCTTCCATTCAGTTGTGGTCCTTTTTTGTTGCCAGATTTCAGGAGAATGACAAAACAATGACATCAGCTGACCTTCACGAACTTCGCATACGCACAATCGCACAGTATAGAAGGAAAAAAGGAACTTTTGTACTGAGAAATCGTAGAAATTTTTGGCCCCTTTTCTTTCTCGGCTTCTTTTCAAAAATGAGAAAAAAATGATTCCCCTCAGAGTACCTCCCTGAAGTGATCAGGGTAGCATGACCCGAACACCCATTTCGCACGAAAGCGCCTAGCATCCGTGCCGAACATTTTGAGCTTCCGACTTTCCAGCACACTTTTTTCAGGGGTAGCCTGTTCAAGAGAACACGAATACTGTATTTCCGGGACACGACTGCACCTGGAGCTAGTGCGACAGCATGTAGACCGAAGTGAGTGATCGACATAGCATCAGCAATTGCGATACGGTTGCCAGGCGCGTTCTCGCCAAACAGATGTGGTGTTAACTCCCCCCCCTGGTCAGGGTACCTCTGGGCGAGTTTGAAGTGGTTTTACTCTGCGGAAAGTTTCGAGAGAAACCAAGCCTTTTAGTTATTGAGGAAGAGAGTAAATATGAGTTGCCATTTTGACCATACTCCCTACTATATATAAAGAGCCAAGTCCCTCTGTCTGTATGTCTGTATATTTGTATATCTGTATGTCGTGTGTGCGCCTGCTTGTCTGTGTGTGTAACGATCAGTACAACCTGAAGAAGCATTTGAAAAGTCTTAATCAAGTGCGGAGTAGGTGGATGATGCCGTTTCGCAACAGCCTATAGAAAGAGAGAACGGCTGAAGGTGTTCATTGAGCTGGAAGATTAATCAAAGGAGATCCACCTTTCATAGGTGCAGCATTCGTCAGCCCGACGGTGCTTGATAAAAGCTTCAATAACTCGCTTTTCTTAAACCTACAAAGTAAAAAATGGTGTAGATTAGCAATGTCTATGATTTTCCTTGGTGCTTGAAATAAGCGGAGGACAGCCGAATGTGAGCTGCTACTTCTACAAACCCTCAC